TGATTAACCTGAGTACGCGACTGTATCAGGTGGGTAGAGGGGCCCTAGGAAGGACAATAATAATAATAATCCTTGCATTTGATATAGCGCTTTTCACGTCAGGAGGATGTCCCAAAGCGCTTCACAGAACACACTGTAAAGTGAATTGACTGTATATTTGTGGGCGAACGCGGCAGCCAATTGCGCACAGCAATGTCCCGTAAACAGTCGTAGATTGAAAATGACCAATTTATTATTGTTTTTGGTTTTGGAGGGATTATTATTAGGCTCTGTGTGGAGTAAGGAAACTTGCCCAAGGTTTCGCCCTCTGCCTGGAATTGAACCCAGGTCTCTCGCTTGCACAGCGAGTGCTCTAACCACTGTGCCACAGGACTCCAGAATGAGGCGGTTGGTCGACCAACCACCGAATAAGGCTAGGTAAAATACAAAGTGATTGGATATGTAAATACGGCATGTAATGGCAAGTCAGGCGACTGATTATAAGTAGCCAAAAAAGAGAAGTGGGAAGCAGTCCGGAACGGTGCCATCAGACGGTGATGGAAGATCGAAAGCCTGAATAACTGAAGCAACTAAGAAAGAACCCTGTTCCGGACTCGCAGCACTCGGTCTAGTGGCGTTGATGGTTGACTGCTGAAATAAGCGCGCTTCAATGATATTTTTGTTCGAATAAACTCGGCTTAACAGATTTTACCTAAACGGAATGCTGGGTGACCTTTTTGATATCTAACACCACTTATTGCTAGGGAAACAGAGGCGTGTGGAGTAAGGAAATGTGCCTGAAGTTTTGCTCTGCCTGGGAATCGAACCCGGGTCCTCTCGTTGCAAGGTGAGCAGGCTAACCACTACGCTACAGGACTCCGCAATGCAATACGGTACACAACTTCAAGCCTGTACCTCTCTGATTCACGCCCTCTCAATCTGTCTTTGAGATTCCCACCTAAAGCCTACTTCTTTGATTCCACATATGCTCACCTCCCCTTTCTCCCTTGCTCTGCATCAACCCCTGCCACTGTGAACCACTCCGGCACTGGGTAAAGGTTGCTGCTGTCATGGACCAAAGATCATTGAGATCAGAAGAGGAAAATTAACAGATCTAAGGGGAATGGCTGTGAATGTAATTCCTCACCACTGAGAAATTAATTGGATGTCTCTCATCCTGGCAGCAGTCTCTGTACATATTTTTTATTTGTGCATCTCAAAGATTGTCCGACCTATATGAACGGACTATAAATATAAAGGGTGTTTATTGCCCTGTGTCAGGATTTGGAGCTAACTGTCCGGCCAGGTGTTGTCCTTCAGATGAGACGTTAAACCGAGGTTCTATCTGCCTGTTCAGGTGGATGTTAAAGATCCCGTGGTGCTGTTCAAAAAGATTCTCCTGGTGTCCTAGCTGACAATCACCACCAATAAAAATTAATTCACTTCATGGCCATTTGCGGGACATTGCTGCGCGCTCTTGCCAACAAAATACAGTCAATACACTTAACCGTAAATCCTCTGCCCTTTGATCAATAAGTTCAGCCATGATCTAATTGAATGGCGGAACAGGCTTGAAGGGCTCAAAGGTCTACTCTTGTACCTATGTGATGCCTTTTGATACATAAAAAAATTGTGTTAGGTACAGCACCTTTCATGTCAGGAAGAGGTCCCAAAACACTTCATGGGATATATTGCAATTTGGAGGGACTGTGTGCTTTGTGCCAATTTGCACAAGGAAATATCCCACAAACACACAAACAGAATGGAATAAAGGTCTAAGTTTATTGCGGGGGATTGTTGGCCAGGACACTTTCTTTTTTTTCGAATAGCGCCGTAAAATTTGTAACATCCACCTGAACAGGCAGACAGGGCCTTGATTTAAAGTCTTATCCAAAGGATAGCACCTCGAACAATGCAATACCCAACCCCCAGCACTGCGTTGGAGTGTCAGCATTGACGATGTGAGTTCCAAGTCCCAACATGGGCTTGAACTCACAACCTTCTGACTCAGAGGCGAGAGTGCTACCAACTGAGCCAGGCTGACACACAACTGGTTAATTGAGTCACGAATGGGACAAGGCTCACTGTTCCTGTGTTGAGTGGGTAATTACAAGACCTAATGGTAACAGCTCATCTCGAAGATTTACCAGCAATGTCACACCTTGCATTAATGAAGGCTTTACCAACTTTAAAATTTGACTTCAAAGAACGTGAAAACCTGAAATTATGAAGCCTTAATACTCTTTTAACACGCGGTATAAATCATTCACAGTGATTTCACAAGTCAAGCTATGCCCAAGCCAGCTTTATTGTTCCGAAGGAGCATCCCTATAGATGGAAACTATGCAAATCGCACACATAATAGCATCCGCATTATTTAAAGCAGAATGATTTAAACATGTCAAGCATCCAGTTTTTATTCTGCAATTTATGAGTGTCACCGCCTATGGAGCCACTGGTCCATTGGTGTTACAGTCTGACAATATTTCCTTTGTCAAGCTAATCCAATGTTACTGCACAGAAAGGCCAGTTCAAGCCATTGAAGCTATATACAATAAATAATAATAATAATCCTTGCATCTAATATAGAGCCTTCTCATATCTTCGAGACACCTCAAAGCGCTTCACAGAATAGACTGTAAAGTGAATTGACTGTATATTTTGTGGATGAAACGCAGCAGTCAATTGCACACAGCAGTGTCCCACAAAATTGTGGATTGAATGACTAAATTATTATTTTTTTGAGGGAGATTACCTCCGGAATAGTGATCTGCCAATCAACTAACAACCTAGTTCCTACTTACTGCTAGATAAACAGAGGTGTGTGAAGTAAAGAAACTTGCCTAACATTTTGCCTTGCCCAGGAATCGAACCCAGGTCCTGTTGCTTGCAAGCTGAGTACTCTAACTACTGAGCTACAGTACTCCACAGAGTGAATAAGAATAAATGCCTTATTCACAACTTATTAACATAACTTCTATAACTTGTTTCAATTTTCCTTTTTGATGATTAATTCCTTGCTACGAGTTGAACACCTACAAATGGAAATGTGCTATAATTTTTTGATTTAATTTTAATAAATCATGAGAGACATAAAACCGTCTCAATGGATAATAATCCACGTATTTGGCAAAGGCACCTTTCACATAGGGAGGATGTCTCAAAGTGCTTCACAGAATATACTGTGAAATGTAGGTACGGTGCATTTTATAGGTGAATGGGGCAGCCAGTTTGCACACAGTAATATCCCACAAACAGACCCAAAATTAATTATAACTTTTATCTGGCCAAGACACCGGGAGAAACTCCATGGGATCTTTAACGTCTACCTGAACAGACAGACCGGACCTCAGTTTAACATCGTATCTGAACAACAATGCAAGACACCCCCAACTTAGATAATGTGAGTTCAAGCCCTGATAAGGGGCTTGAACCAGCAACCTCTGACTTGGAAGCGAGAGTGTTACCAACTGAGCCAGGCTGACACACATGAAGGAGGAGATTGTGCGGTTCATTGAGCTTAAAATGATGCTCGTCCCTCAAATGTAGTGAATTATGCCAATCCCAAATCTCTACTCTTTCTCCAGTGCCTTGGGGACGTACTCTCAATGTGAAAGGCACTATACAAATGTAATGTTGTATTGTATTTATATCCTTTTATTATCTCCCTCTTCAAACGTTCATTCCATTTCCTTCTAAATGTTATGGCCTTGGCTTCTGTAGCCACTTGCAACAAACCAAAGTTTTCTCATCAGCCAGTGCTCTCAGTGAGAAGCGATGTGTTTTTAGCTAGTTAAACAGCAACACACTCAACAAAACACATTCTGGGCTCCCCAAGCCTTTGCTTTTGCCAACCAATTAAATACTCTCCAGGATTAGGTAACCAGGGTGCTTTCCTTCAGAGAGAAACCCATCACCATGACTCCTTTCTTCCCTCTGACCCTCTCCCTCTGTTTGTCTCTCTCTCTTCCTCTCTCTCTCTCTTTCTATTTCTCTGTCTCTGTCGCATTCTCTTGCATCTCTCCTTCTCTCTCTGTTTTCCCACCCTTTCTCTCTGTCATCTTTAAGAGCCTTACATAATAATAAAATTGGATAATCTTAACCTAACTCACAGTTGCTGTGAACACAAAGCAGAAAGCAGCCCGTGATTCAGTGCTAATTAGTGTTATATTGGCATTCTCAGATGGAGCGCCTTAAGGCTGGCTAGGATGAGACACGTGAATTACACCCTGGTCAGGAAAGATCTCTTCCATGATATCAGCACCAGAGTACTTAGTTGGAACAGTGACAGGACTGAAGAGAGGCTAACCTGGGGATTGCTTGATCCTAAAACTGTGTGCAAAGACATTCCATTCGCTATAATATCATTTCACAACTCTCTACCGTTCTCCTAAAGTTTGCTCATCCTCAAATTGCAACTGGAGACCTTCATTTTCGACCATGCCTAAAGTCATAATAATAATAATAATCGTTGCATTTGATATAGCGCCTTATCACGTCTCTGAGACGTCTCAAGCCCTTCACAGAATATACTGTAAAGTGAATTGACTGTATATGTTGTGGGAGAAACTCAGCTGCCAATTGCACACAGTAGTGTCCCCACAAACAGTCGTGGATTGAAGTGACCAATTTATTCTTTTTACTTTGATTATTTTTTTTTGCATCTCCCCTTCTCTCAGGCTCAGCATCAAACTATGCCATCATTAAGGTTTCAAGACACGAGGTGAAGGCTGCTATGTAAATGCAAGTTGTGTTTTTTTTATATGGAATGGTGAAGGCAGGTGCACCCATCAACATTTGACCCCTTTTTTCCAATGTCTGGTGCTCAACTAACTGACCCAATTGGGATGGTTTGGGCTTTCAGAAAGCCGGCAATGGCACATCTGCACTGCTCCGCTGACATACAGAAAAGATTCCCTGTCATTCACGACTACTGTCAGCTGATTTATGCGTCTGAAATTGTGCTGCTATCAAACAGGACATTGAGAATTTATCACACGGTTCGATAAAGTCTTACTTACCGGGCTGACACATACAAGTGATGTTGTGTCCATCCATTCTTTCTGTACATTTAACAGTGGCAGACTGACATAAATCCATACTGCACAGATCCAGATCAATAGAGCAGTCTATGCCATCGTAACCTTGAAAATAATAAAGAAAAGGTAGTGGGTACAACAATTACCAACGCAAAAGCTATCTTCCCACTTGCCTGTTGTTAACCCTTTCAGCTAAAGCCCTAAAGGGTAGGGTAGTCCTAACTGAATGAGCAGTAAGTAGGTACCCGGTTATTAGTCGATTGATGGATTTCTTTCTGGGGTAGTAATACTTCCCCCCTTAAAAATTTTGGCCATTCAATCCATGACTGTTTGTGGGACACCGCTGTGTGCAATTGGCTGCATAGTTTTGGACAGAAAATGTACAGTCAATTCATTTTACAGTATATTCTGTGAAGCACTTTAATATGTCTCAACGACTTCATAAGGCGCTATATCAAATGCAAGGATTATTAATATTATATTATTATTGCACCAGGTTTATAGGGAACCTTCAATATCTCTTTCATTTGGAGCCCGAATTTTATGTGATCTTTTAACAAGGTTTAATAAAAAAGTTTGAAATTCAGCAAAGATTTATAAGAACAATCCTTGCATTTGATAGTCCGCCTTTTCACTTCATCTCAAGAGTACTTCACAGGCATTACTGTCAGGTGTATTGACTATGTACAATAATAAAAATGCTTGCATATAGCACCTTTCACATTGTGAAGAGCCTCAAAGCTGTTCACAGGAATTTTATGGTAAAGAGTAGTTTAGGCCTGCAGATTCAGCTACATGTAGTTCACAAAGATTTATAAAGAATGTTACAGCAATCCCCCAGATTAAATTGGTCGTTCACTTCACGGCTGTTTTGTGGGACAATTCCGTGTGCAAATTGGCTGCTGTATTCACCTTAAAAATACACAATCGCTACACTTAACAGAAAAACTGCCACCTACTTTGAGATGGCTTAGTGTAACCGGCGTAATAAATTAATTATGAATATTATTTCAGAGATATCTTTGTGAGTTACAGGTGAAGTATCTGCCTGTCAGACTGAAGTTGAGGTTATGGCTGACAATACAACTGAATGAGGTGTCAGCACTGCAAGGTTGAATAGAGAAATACCAATGATCTGGTCTATGATGAACTGTTTACTAGGTAATGCCTGTTTCTATGACTCCTGGGCTATTATGCTACAGGCTAGCGCAGTTGTTCAGGATAATGTCTTTCTTTGACATCAGGCAATTAACAACGCGATCAGGTGAACTTCATGCATTACAATGTAACGCACCTCATGCAATAACTCAAGTCACCGTGCATCTTCAAAGCCAAATTTAGAATTTATAAACCTTATACTTTAATGAAAGTGTTTTGCTGTCAAGACCAGAACCATTCAATTAATTTGTTGCTGGCGACGAGAGAATGCAACCACGCAGTTCAAAGAATTACATCAGCCATTCCTCTTGTTAGTTCCAGTGCTAATCTGCAGAGGTTTTTATCTGAATTTTAAATCAATGAAGATATTTAAATTAAGATTGAATTACTTTACTAAAGAGACCCTTTTTATTGCAGATTCATTTGTTTAAAAATAGTATGTGTTCTCGTCTCTTACCTTAACCCCCTCCCCCCCAACCCTCATTATATCTTTCCTTCTTTTAAAGTTGTTCAATCCACGACTGTTTGTGGGATGCTGCTGTGCGCAATTGGCTGCCACGTTTTGCCCACTTAATATACAGTCAATTCGCTTCACAGTATATTCTGTGAAGCGCTTTGAGACGTCTCAGCGACGTGGGAAGGTGATTTATCAAATGCGAAGATTATTTACTATTTGTTTCTTTCTGGCAGTTAACGATGCGATCAGGTGAACACACGATCGATGGGATCTGTTGCCCTTCTTGCTTCTTTCCCCCCCCCCCACTCTTCACCTCTTGCTACCCAAATTTGCACCTCGTTTGGGAGGGGTGAAGAGTACTTCAAGGAGCTTTCTCACAGAGCTGAAGTGTGGTGACTCTGTATTTGTAGGTGAACACAACAGGCACAAAAAACAGCGTTCCCACCACTGTAAAGGACTCTGAGACATTATTTTAAGTGAAGGGCAATAAACAAATGCCTGTTAATGTTGCTGTCGTCCCCCCACCTCTCTCACCTTAACTTCCACTCTCTCCCCTTCCCCCTCCTACACACACAAGCGGTAATTAACAGCACACGAGGACACATTAGCCTGTTCATTCACCTTGCACAATTGACAAGCTTTCTATGGCTCGATGAGAATTTTAATTTGACAACATAGAGAACCAGACCATTCAGCTGGTGCTGGGTTCCGCTCTGGACTCATTTTCCACTTGATGAAATCCCATTGCCCTGCTCACTTATATCCTTTAACATTGCCCTTTCTTAAGCAACTTTTAACTCTATCGCTTCACGTCCAGCCTCAAAACCTATCAAGACACTGTCTGGACTCATTTCAAAAGCAGCTTGATGCAGTGATAGAGAGAATGGTAAGGTGTTTGCTCTGGGGGGGCCTTTTCATCCGAACCGATCTCGTGATCTTACGATCTTCAACTGTGCCTTTCGCCACCTCCCACTTCTCTACCCCACCCTCTGCCTCGTGTCTGATAATAACAACAACAAATTACGCTTGTATAGCGCCTTTCAGGTCGTGAGGATGTCCCAAGTGCTATACAAATGTCATTTGTAACTATAAAGTGCTCCGAGACATGATTGGATGTGAAAGGGGCAATTTAACAACAAGTTGCATTTATACAGTGATCTTCACATGAGGCAGTGTTTCGGAGACTTAAAATGCAAGTTGTTACATTGCAACTTCCAAAGAGAATCCTGAAAAACGCAAGTTGTCGTTGTAACTTTGTAATTCCCTTTCAAGAGAACCTACAGACCTTGTCCCAACTGCAGTTTTTTGGGGCAGGCAGTGTCTGACACTGGAAAAAATCCATCAGTGTGGCTGATGTGTAAAATTATAATAATCCTTGCATTTGATATAGCACCTTATATAGTGTTTTACATACAAAGCCACCTACATGGAAATCTCCCCGTGTCTGGAATGGAAAACGCACTGTCTCTCCCTCCTATCCCCCAAATCAAACCGGCGGGATTAAGGGAGAGCATTCCAGAGTCAAGGGGTGCAGTGCCTGTAAGCACTATCACCAATGGTGGATCGAAGGGGATGGCAGATATGTAGGACGCAATGCTGTTTGTGGGACACTACGGTGGGCAAATTTGCTGCCACATTACCCCACAAAATACGCACAGCCACTTCACATTACACTACAGTGTATTGTCCTCTGATACAATGCAGTCTCGTGATAAGACATTATAACATAGAATCATAGGAACATAGGTACAGGAGTAGGCCATTCAGCCCCTTGAGCCTGTTCCACCATTCCATAAGATCCTGGCTGATTTGTATCTCAACTCCAATTACCCGCCTTTGAACATATCCCTCGATACCCTGACCTAACAAACATCTGTCCACCTCAGTCTTGAAACTTTGAATGGATCCAGCATCCACAGCTAAATGCAAGGATAATTATTATGATTATTATTACTTTATTACTGTTTTAAACCTCCCCCTTGAATTCTTATTAGAAACATTTTTAATCTGCACCCTTCTTATTTTCTGAAACTGGCAAATTCAGCAGCTGATGGATATGAGGCTATGCCCTGTCAAGATGATCCATACACCATTCATCCCTCACACAGGCGACAGGTCTGGATCACACTGATAAATACTGGCATTGATGACCGAGAGAATAAATAAGCCTTAACACACAATCTAAGCAATGGGCTAATCAATAGCTGTGGTTAACAGAATTGTTCCCGATTTAAATTAAAGCTTGTTAAGAATTCACCTGTTAAAGGGAGAGGGAGGAACAGGAGGTGGAATGAGACGGAGAATAAACCAGGAGTCAGCTGAAGACAAAGAGATATTTAGATAGATACAGACAAGGGGAATAACATTGGACACCAAGATTAATGAATATGGTTTTCCAATTGACTCAGACGTCCTTTCTCACCTTCACTTCATTAACAGCCAGTTGTTAATGAAGGGAGAGCGAAAAGGACGACTGAGAAAAAGGACAGTCTCCCAATGGATCAGTTCATCAAAGCAATAGGCTGTGTGGAACTGTGGCCTCAAGCGATGAGCTGGAATTGGTTGGCAAAGCTCTTGCTTGTGAGTCAGAAGCAGGTTGTGAGTAGGTTCAAGACCCAAGTCAAGTTTCTGAACTCAAATAGTTTAGTCTGACACTCAAACTCACTGCAATGTCAGAGGAGCCGTGCTTCAGATGAGTTAAACCGAGGTCCCGTCTTGCCTGTTCAGCGGACGTTAAAGATCCATTTTGCACAACTTGAAAAGAGAAGAGAGTCTGCCTGTGTCCTGGCCAACAATCTCCCCCAGAAAAATATTGGTCACTCATTCCATCACTGAGCTTGCTGATGTCAGTGTGCGCACTCCTGTGTGCGATTGGCTCTGCGTTTCGCCCACAAAATACAATCAATCCACTTTGGAATACATTCTGTAATCAAGAGCTTCGAGACGTCTCAACAAAGCGATAAGGTGCAATATCACACTTAAGGATTATTACTGTTATTAAGTCCACAACTTAACACTCATGACATATTGCTTAACTCAGAGGGCAATTAACAGTTTGAACAGGGTTACCAGGAAGAGTTGTTGAGGCAGGAATGCTGACCTGATTCTAAGAAATGCAACAGGTAAATAATAAAGCAAACCAGCGTTTCATCACATCAAGAACATCTCAAAGTGCTTGAAAGCATTTTCTAAAACATGTAGGGTCTGTGTATTTCTAGGAAATAGGCTGGGTTCTCTGGAAGAATTAGATCAAATGGGCCGTTTTCATTGGAACCTCCCTTGGGATATATAATATTGAACGGAATCAACAAGGTATTACAGTACTTCAAGGTATTACTTCAGGGTATTAGTTCAAAGCAAGCCCAGACTGAAGATCAGACGTGGAAAGTAAATTTACTCGGAAAAAGTCTTTCACTCATCATAACACAAATTACGACGTAAACATGACAGAAGTTAACATTGAGGTGATAAGTAGCTAAGGTGGAAAAGT